TAAACACGCCTCCTCCCCCCCCCCCGCCCGACCCTGGGCGCCTGTCCTTTGAGAGTGAAAATTATGGCTGGTAATCTATGCTGCGGGCCAGTGCGGCACAGACAGCCCTTGTTTCTCCCTGTCACCTTTTCTTGAGAGTTTACTTAATATGTGTCTCGGCTTAGTGAGGCTTGGAGAAGGGACATTTGTTCCTGTGACAGAACACCTTCTGTAATTGGATCGTCGTCCCGCCGCTGATGCTCTGTGTTGTAAACACGCTCATTTATTTCAAATGGACGTTTCTTGACGATGCCGATTTCTTCACATGATTTATTTAGCATTTGCCTTTTTCATCATCATTCATCATTTGATTATATGGACCACACCGTATAGTCAACCAGAATCAGGTCACGAGGGTCATCGACGTATGTCGGAGTACCATTCCTAGGGTGCGATGTAACTCGATTTATGTCAATTTTTCCCCGCGTACCACTGGTGGTACACGTACCATAGTTTAAGAACCACTGATCTACGGTATAAAAAGTGCGATAAGTCTGGCGTATGTAAACAACGTTGACTTTTGCATATAGAGCCACGTGACCATCCATCCATCCATCCATCCATCCATCCATCTATCTATCTATCTATCTATCTATCCATGTCTTTCCATGTGTTCATCCGTCCATCCATCCATCATCCATCCATGAGTGAGTCATCCAACGTAATTTGAGTCCGTCTCTCTCTTTTTCTTTTTTTTGGGTCTTACTCTGTTCACGTGTCTCTGTTATTCCCACGTACTGTCCCACAAACTTGATTTCTCCTACTTATTCTCCTGTCAGTGTGTGGTGTGTAGGTTGATCCTCTTCTGCTTTGTCACTGGATACCTACCTACGTACTTTGTATGAGCAGAATAGATGCGGTCCTTGCTTCTACATGCATCTTTTTACATTTTTTTTATTGTATAAATGACTCTTCAAATTAGTGTCTTTCTCAACCTTGGCGTCGCGGCCCATGTGGGGTCACATGGAATTCAAATGGGTTCGCTGGAAAGTTAATTTTGAAATGTATTTTAAAATTTTTGTCAATTATTTAAGTGCTTTATTTCATTCAAGAATAATTTAAAAAATATACTACCTGTTTGCAGTGTAAAAAAAAAAATAAAAGAAATCTTTCTGCGCTTTTCTCTATTCCCGCCGCTATCCATTAAAATGCGATTAGCTTAGTTGTAGGTTACCGTCTGCTCCATTAATACTAACGTTAAATACATCCCAAATACAAATTGATTGAAAGCTTTTGCCCAAAACCACGATTGAACCCACGATTTAGGTCACGCAGGGTAGAAACCCAGAGAAGGGGCTGCTCTTGACTCCATTAGCATAAAGCCTTTCTGATGCTAATGCTAAGAGCTACGCACTGACCACAAGGCCAGCAGCTCTGACGGGCCTAAATGGCCGAGCATCAGGCATCTCCTCTTGTGTCATTGTGTGCAGCCTCGACACGGCGACAGCCGGGGTCAGGAGGCGGGGCACGTTCCCTTTCTGTGGTCCCCAATTGCCATGGCAACGCTCCACCTGTTTTTCATCATCCGCCCTTCCTCCCTGGACATTAGCCCTTTGCTGAGTGCCTGTATCTCAGTGTTCCCTATTGGAAATATTATGTGTCTGTGAGATAAGCTGATTTGCGCCAGTAGATCAGTGACCACAGAGACCAGTGTTTGAATTCTAACAACAAGAGACACACACGCGCAAAAACTGTTTTTGTGTGTTTAGTGAGTACTTTGCATAGAAAATAACATCGCCTTAGAATCTAACCATGACTTTTTTTTCTGTACGCCTATCCCTCATCTCTCTCGCCTGACTCCCATCTGATGCTAATTCTTGAACCACAAATACCCGTCTCTCTCAGTGGGGACAAGTGGAGCTATACTGGGAACACACACACACATGACCTAGGTCAAACAGTCCTGTAGTGGAGGTGAGTAGAAAACAGCGGTGAGATACAAAGGCTGGTGATGAACATGGATCTGATATAGAAAAAAAACCGCTTATTGTTTCGGTGCCATTTTTTGGGGACATTTCCCCAAGAAGACAGAGGTCACATTGGTCACAAAACGACCAATCAAACTGATTCAGTAAAAATGAACAATACAAACAGAAAAAAAATCAAAAAAAAATTTCCCATTACTACTTGCCTTTTTTAGTTATTATTTGACTTACGACGCACTAAGTCAAAACCGCAAAGAGAGAGAGAGAGAAAAGCAGAGACAGTTGGGGGAGGACGGAGATGTTCTAAAAATCCCCTTGGTTTAATTACGTTAGTCCACAGACAGCTCAGCTCTGCCTTGTTATTAAATGTTAGAGGTGAAAATGTGATTTCTCTCTCACTCTCTGTCTGTGTCTGTGAGAGAGAGAGAGAGAGAGAGAGGAAGAGTTCTTTTGTGGATATGTTCGTTAACGGAAACCACAACAAAGCAGGAAGTAGATATGATATTTGACCCTGTTCAACAAACAGTGAAAATAAAAATAAAAAAATTCTAATAAATCATGAAGAACTCTGACTTCTTATGACCAAAAAATAAATAAAAAAAAATAAACAAAAAAGCAACAAAATTACTATTTTACATCAGAAATTACTGTTCTACGCAATTTTTAAGACATTTGAGATTTGTTAAAAAGCCTCTACCCTTTTTTTTAGTTGTTTTTGTGTCTCTGTTTAACAACTTTCTCCCAAAAAACTCACTCGCTTGGTTTTGCTAGACGCGCAGATTTCAGACAGTTAATCAAAGTGTTGTCGACTGTTGCTCCATAAACGGCTGCGGGGCGATACGAGCTTTTTGACGTCGTCTCCGGATTATGAGCGAAATGTGAGTAAACGTTTACGATAAACAAATGTTAGAAATCTGCTCCTTAAAAAGGCCTCCGTTTTTCCGGGAGACTGTTGGATCTTTAAAGTGCGTAGTTTCAACTCTTTTATAGGAGGAAAAACAAAAAAAAAAACAAAAAAAAACTTAAAAGTTGTTTAATATCTCGAGTAATAAAAACCCCCGCAGCAATAACTGTTGCTTTCATTATTTGCAAACATTTCACCAAGAACAGATCAACTCGCCATCTGTTTTTTTCCATATAAAAAATCCCCTAAAGCAAAAAAAAAAAAAAAATTCTCTATCCTTGACTACATTTCTTCTTCAGCACGGGGAGATGTAAGGTTACCGGCGAAAAGGCGTGTAATTTCTAGCTACGTCAGATCACAAAGGCATTTTTTATGTATGATTTATTTATTGATTATCTGGACACCAAAAACAACTTTTTGATTTTTTTTTAATTTCCAATTTCCACAAAAATCTAGCCCCAGTGTTTTCCAACCCTGGGGTTGTGACCCCCTCCATGGGTCACCTGGAATGTTTAGTGATTGGTGAAAAAAAAAAATATTATTTTTTTAAACTAAAATCTTATACAACTGTGTTCTTTCACTTTCATGAATATAAATCTAAAAAAGTAAAAGATCGGAATCTGTTGTAAATGGGGAAGAAACGGTTACCAGAAAGCAACACGTCTCCCCTTGTGCTGCCACTTTTCTAAAGCTACGTTTTACTGCGTGACCATTTTACTGAAAATGAATAAATTATAGGTTTGACGTGAGACAATATTGAGAACTGGTGGTTACTGTTCATTAGGTTCATTAGGATTTAATTCCAAATGTGTCAAACAACTCTCCAATATGTATTTATCAAAAGATGAACTAC